CTGACTTCATGATCCACCCGCCTCGGCCTCCCAAAGTGCTGGGATTACAGGCGTGAGCCACTGCACCCGGCCTCATTTTTCTTTATCCTTTCCATCCCCCTTTCCATTTGCAACCAAAGATTCTCCCCAGAGCATAAGCCACACTACAGGCGTGGTGAGAGCAGGTGGAGGTGGTGGACCAGTGCCAGACAGTACAGAGCAGCCTGAGACAGCTGTCTTCCCAGCAACTGCCACAAAGGGCCTCAGGCCAAGCCTGCCTGACAGCCGGCACACAAGCTGCTTCCTTGCTTTTTAAATTAAACCTCAACTTGTTTAGGCAGGGCAGTCATTTGCATTTTCTGTAGCACCCAGTACTCTGGTCTTGGGGGAGCTGCTCTGACCTTTGGATCACCAGCTGCCCTGGGAAGGCCTTGGGGCTGCAGCCCAATTCTAGAGCAACTGAAATCTGGGAAGCATCTCCTAGCATCTGCTGCCCCATGTTCAGGGTTGATTTATCTGCACTGGGAGCAGAAACCACAAAGTCAGTAAACACAAAACACAAAGCCTTCCTCTCTGGTCTGTCTTTTGAAAGGTGGCTGCGTAGATGTGTGTGTGTGTGTGTGTGTGTGTGTGTGTGTGTGTGTTTTGGGGGAAGTGAAATTATGCAAGGGAATATGGTATTTCAAACATTGATTTATTAATTTCGCAAGTGTAATAGGGTGAGTAGAAGCCATTAATGACCTGTGATCTTAATGCATAAGACAAGCCTTTACATGATTATGAAGTCTAGTGGAAGACAAAAGGCACTAATGCATAGCATGGAAGAATGATTAGCAGTGACCCCGGATACCAGCACTCCGTGGCCCTGCAGTGGAAACACTTACAGACAAGAAACACGGGGTTGGGCCGCACAATGAAATCGGGGAAGTACAGCCACTTTATGATGTTGTCATTGAAGCTGGCACCCTTGAATCTCCACGGGTAATCTGCAGGGAGGGAAGTGGCGAACAGCACAATCAATACTCTTCTTCACCACGCTTCTCCCAGCCGTCCACTCAGTAATGGCTTCTTCTAAAAGTAGATGGCTCCAGGGAGGGGCAGGCTCACCTCGGCAAGGAGCAGGTGGGATGCCGATGCAGATGAAATACTGGAAGGTAATGATGCATGCCAGGAAGCAGCAGTACTTGGGCCAGATCTCCGCGATGGCTTTCCTTCTGCGTCTATATAAGACAGCGATCAGCCAGCAGGCGTGGATCATGGCATAGAAATCCATTCGCTGGCCAATCACGTTAACTGACATTAGGAAACAGGTCTGTGTAAAGATGAAAAGAGGCACAAAAAAAATAAATATATCAGACTTATGGGAAAGGGGACTGGTGATAGGTATCAGGTCTGTGTAGATGGCGGAGACCCACATCCCTCAGGGCCAGTCTGTCTGCACAGATTCACCAGTGCTTGCTCTTTTGAGTGTCTCAGGTGAAGACAGAAATACTGTACAGATTACTCCCAAGGGACAAACTGACTAAGTAGCTCTTATAATAACCACTTCAGACAATAAAGCGAACAGCAATTTTGATCTCCTCATGAAACATCACCATTCCTACTTCATTCTATGAAGGCATAGGCACTATCACAACCATTTTAGGTTAAAACAGTTCATTTTGGCTGCAGCTTATGGTTTCAGAATGCACAAAGAGAAGATTAATATTTATTTATTATTAATTAATTAATTAATTTGAGATGGAATCTTGCTCTGTCACCCAGGCTAGAGTGCACTGGTGCAATCTTGGCTTACTGCAACCTCTGCCTCCCAGGTTCAGACAATTCTCCTGCCTCAGCCTCCCAAATACCTGGGATTACAGGCGTGCACCACCGTGCATGGATAATTTTTGTATTTTTAGTAGAAATGGGGTTCCACCATGTTGGCCAGACTGGTCTTGAACTCCTGACCTCAGAAGCTCCGCCCACCTTGGCCTTCCAAAGTGCTGGGATTACAGGCGTGAGCCACCGCGCCCAGCCAGAAGATTAATGCTTTATTCTTAATAAGAAACCTGTTAACATGGCAACTGATGGCCATGCATTTACATTGCTCTGGAGATCCAGAGAGGCCAAGGCACTGCTGTGGAGGGGGGTGTTTAGCACCTAGTCTTGGAAAACTTTCAGTCAAGCCAGTTAACCATCAGTACAAATACTTTCTGTTCTTCTCAAGGAGACAGCTATCATGCCTGGAGATGTATCACAAGGTTCCAGTGGCCAATTGGCCAGAAGCAGTTCTTTGAATTTTCATGGAAAAGAGAAATAAAACATGTCAGCAAGGAAACTCACCTCCAGACCGAATTTGTAGAAGAAGTAATTTATGAAATATTTGGCACAATTAATAAGTCCATCATCTAGATGTAGTCTTGTAATGTCATGAAAGATAGTTTTAGACACAGGGGCCGTCAGATTGTTTCGACCTCGATAGTATTCCTGATGGCGGTAAATGGTGACTTCAAAGGCCAGGATAGCCAGCATCAGGAGGTTATTCTACAAAGCAAGGAAACACAACTGTGTCAGCCAGATGCTGTACGATTTGGTAATTTCAAGCAATTCCCATATTCTTCACAACTACAAGGACAATGTTTTATAAAAGCTCACCTCTCTTAAACAGTTTTGAGCTCAATATTCATTTTCTCTGTCTTATTTATTGTGGCATTATCTCTATTAGAAAATCAGGCTAATTTCCAAAGTAATAGGATCTAGAATCTCCAGACATAAGATGCTGCTGCTCATTCCTATTTCTCAAAACTACACATCTCACACCAAGGAAGCAATTTCCAGTTATCCAAGGAGGGCAGTTCAGCCTTGTTTGTGACTAGAAGTGCAAAAACAGTACAGAGACATCCTGGAAAATGCACCCAGCTGGAAGAACAGGAAGCTGCTTAGGGGGAAACTTTTGAACACCCCTGAAATCTTGCTACAGAGAGCAATAGATTGAGTAGCATGCTGACAACAGTAAAATAATAATAGTGATGATATAATGATTATTCAAGGTAATGAAAACAGTTAACATTTATGGAACCATGGGTTCCAGACACGATTCAATCACCCTTTTCAAATACCAATTTGCTTTATCCTCATAACAGCTATTTACAGTGGCTACTAGTACAAAAGATGTCTACCACGTGATGAAAAATCTAGAAGCTACACAAAGAAAATGGGATGCTTAATATATTTAAAAATCCCAGGTGCTGAGTGTAGAGGCTGTACCGTTAAATGCATTGCCAGTATAACATGATTAGGACTGCTCAGATAATCCACAAAAATAAAATGTGAAAAATCTGAAGCATGTTGTTTTCATTATGTTTGTATGGCTGTTTGTACTCAAGTTCCCTTTTATAAATATATGCTTTATTACTTCTAGATGTAATAGATTCTCTTTATTAAAAACTATAGAGAAACAGAATTTACACAGCAAAAATGTCTTGTAAGGCTATATCCGCTTCTCAGAAATAATCACTATTGAGCATTTGGTATACTTTACTCAATATTTTTCTTTGTGTCTAGAAGAGATCATACTATGCACAGTGTTTTGAAATTTGCTTTTTAAAAAAACTTAATATATTTTAAATATGCTTCAATTCTAATGCACCCATTGACCTTAATCTTGTAATAGTCTTAAAACGATTGTATAATGTTCCAATGAATGTATTTGTCACATTTTATTCAAGCAATCTCAGATCGTTTGGTCATTTTCTCTTTAACGTGCCATAATACTGATTTTAACACTTAGAGTTTGTTGCAAAGGTGATGCCAAATCCCACATGAGAATATGTGGTTACTATCAAATGTGATGTTGAGCGTCTTGGGGAAGAATCCTGAACTATTATATAACGGTGTGGAGGCCCAAACTAAGCACGACAAGCCGTTACCCTTAGGTAGACGAGCAGAGGCGAAGACTTCCGCAGGCCGACCCACTCTGTAGGATCGACAGGAGCACTGTAGAGCAGAGACTTGTTCAACTCATTAAGGGGGATGTTTGTTTGATTTTCATTTGGCTAAAAAGAAGAGAAAATGGAGTAAAAAAATAGCTTCACAGATTAGGAGAGCTCGGGTTATTTAGTCTTCAGCTTTGAGCAAACGGACAGTGGTGGGATGGGAGGGGCAGGCCCATCTCGGGGGAGACCTCAGTATGAGAGGAGGCTTAACACAGGGCCAGAGCACAACCAGGGAGAGGTGACTTACAAGCCTGGCCAGGCCAGGCCAAATGTGCTTGGGGATGGCGGTTCCCCAAGCATCTGCCTTGCTTTGCTAAAGGGCAGTCAGGAATACTCCCCTATCACCGAGGCTCACCAAGGAACAGTTAACAGAGAAGTTCTCAGGCTTAATGGTTTGGAGCTGGTACAACATTTTGCAGACGATGATCACACACGTCCAGACCGTGCAGACACTTGAAGCCAGACGGCGCAGCTTGGCGTACGGCAGAGCAAAAGCCCAAGAAATCAAAAATACATAGTTGAACAGAGACACCTGAAAACATACAACCAGAAATGGGGACAAAAATACATAACATGGCATAACAAACAGGACATCCACAAAACAGGATGACTTGATTTCCTCAGTTCAGCAAAAGTGGACTGGATTCCTAGCACGTGCACGGAATTGCCCTAGGTGCTGGGGTACTAAAGTAGGTGAGTTATGGTCTCACCCCTCGGGGACATTATGTCTTGTATGGCAGGTGATGTCACTATCATGTAGCACTGGCTAAGCTATCGATGTGGGCAGGCTCCTGTGAGAGCATCCAGAAGGGTCCTTGGTCCAATGTGGAGGTCAGGAAGCATTTTCAAGAAGAAACAGTGCCTGAACTGAGCCAGGCCAAGAAAGACGAGAGGTGGATTCTTTAGGTAAAGGAGGCATGGGCGAAGGCAGGAAAGCATGAGCTAGTATGGTGGGGACAGGCGACAACAAACAACTGGAAAGTTCAGAGTTGAAAGTGTGAAGTGCAGCAGGAGGTGAGGCTGGAGGTGCAGCTATAGCTAAGTTCTGACGGATCCTTCTTACACCATGCTATGGCGCAGGAGCCCAGTCTTCAGAAAACGGAGAGCTGTGGAGGGGTATTACACTGGGAATTTGGAGGTAAGATTTGCTTCCCATTGAGATCAATGTAACTGACGAATGGAGGGTGCACTGTGGGGATTGGATGTGAGGTTAGGTGACCCACTCACATGCTGCTGCAACAGCCCAGGGGAGATGGGGAGGAGGCGCGGGTTCAAGATGGGAGGCAAAATTAGCCGGACTCGATGACTGATTGGCTTGGTGGGCCGGTGGGTAGGAGAGAAGGTTCAAGGAGTGACTCCCAGGTTTCCACTTGAGAGCCTGAGTGGCTAACAGTACCATGACTGACACAGCAGTGCTGACAGGGAAGCTGGTCAGAGCGGCAAGTTTGTGAGCTCAGCTTGAACTGTTGACTTTGGACTGCATGCGAGTTCAGTGATCAGGCCGGATGTTCTCACATTTCTAGCAATTCTGTAGTATAGTTAATAGTTCATCGGACAGTATAGAAGGACCATCATCTTCTTCAGGCATGGGAAATGCTCATTTATTCTGAATATTGTGAAAGTAATATTCTAGAAATGTTTAATATTATCAGGTAGAAATAACAGCATGCTCTCGTTTGATACAACTAAACATGTACCAAGCATTGTGGGCTAAGCCTTGTGGGCTATAAGAGACATAGTTACCTACTTGGCTTATAAAATTATAACAGAAGAGGCCGGGTGCGGTGGGCTCAATGCCTGCGTACCATCCCAGGCACTTCAGGAGGCCGAGGTGGGTGGATCACCGAGGTCAGGAGTTCAAGACCAGCTGGCCAAGATGGTGAAACCCATCTCCTACTAAAATACAAAAAAATTAGGCTGGACTCAGTGGCAGGGCGCCTGTAATCCCAGACTACCTTGGGAGGCCTGAGGCAGGAGGAATCATTTGAACTCAGAGGGCAGAGGTTGCAGTGGAGCCAAGATCGTGCTAACTGCACTCCCCACCCTCGGGTGACAGAAGTGACACTACGTCTCAAAAAAAAAAAAAAAAAAAAAAGTTAAAAAAACTATAAAAGAAGAAAATGTGGAGACTGCATGACAGTATTTAATTCTGCTATTTGTTACCTGTTATTCTTCTACTCAACTGTTTGTCACTGTCCAATGAAAGGAACCTCTCTGAAAATTCAGTGCTGAAATATTAGGGTAGGAGGAGATGCCTTATAGAATTAATTGAAGATGAAAGAAACACTGTACATGGAAAGGCCCTGTAAACCATAACTCACTCATAAACATAATCAAAGTTACCTGTTAACAAAACAGATAGATTAGCGAACTGACTTCCTCTTTAGCCATCAGCAAGTGTCTCGTCAATTTGGATATTAAAAAGCAAACCCTAGGCCGAGACGGGCGGATCACGAGGTCAGGAGATCGAGACCATCCTGGCTGACACGGTGAAACCCCGTCTCTACTAAAAAATATGAAAACTTAGCCGGGCGAGGTGGCGGGCGCCTGTAGTCCCAGCTACTCGGGAGGCTGAGGCCGGAGAATGGCGTGAACCCGGGAGGCGGAGCTTGCAGTGAGCTGAGATCCGGCCACTGCACTCCAGCCTGGGCGACAGAGCGAGACTCCGTCTCAAAAAAAAAAAAAAAAAGCAAACCCTATTAAAGATGCTGTGAAATTAACTCTGTTATGTCTGTTACTATGTATCTAAAGCCTTTAGTATAAAGACAGCACAATTTATTCAGAACTTTCAATTTTCTGAGTGATGGGAAAAGAGAAGTAAAGATAGTAACTTTCATTAAGTCTTAACCAGGTTCAAGGCGACACATCCTTTGAGGATTCCCTGCCTGCAGGAGGCATGTGGGAGGGACAGATGGAGGCACAAAGGTACTTGGTGACAGCATAAGGGGACTGAGACCTGAAAAATAAATAGCAGTTAGACAGGCAAAAGAAAAAGCAGGTCCAAGGCCCTTCCAGACTTGGGAGAGCATGGGCTGCCCATCCTTGGAGAAGCAAGTGATTCATGGTGAGAGAAGTGTCATCTGAAACCTGTCAGAGGACTTTAAAACCCACCTGGCGTCCTAGACTGTCCAGGGATGGCAAAGGTGAAGTGGTCTGGGCTGGATCATGGGGGTCTTATACTACGTTATCGTGGGGATGAGAGGCAGCTGCTGCAAGGTTTCAGTAGAGGTCTCTCATGATCACATCTACCCTGTGGGAAGACTATTCTGGCTGCATTGTGGAATACGTGTTGGAAAGAGAAAAGACTGGGAAAAGCTGGGAATCTGTAAGAGCAATCAAAAGGGGAGTGGAGGCAGAGGGAGTGAGTAGGTCACCTGAAAGTGCTTTGGGGCCACTCAAGAAGTGGGGTCAGGCCCAGCTGTCCTGTGGACACAGGGGCCTGGAGTTCAAAGAGAGCAGTGAGTTGACACAGATTTTGGGACTCGCAGCAGGTGAAGGGCAACTGAACCAGTCCTGTGCTTGTGAGCTAGTGAGCTCACCCATGACAGTCCAGAACAGAAACAGGCTGTGGACAGAACCTGAGGAACATGCTGAGGAGGCTGGTGGGAAGGGCAGGAGGAGCCCAGGAACGAGACAGGAAGGGTCTGAGGAAGCTGTGGGGAAGGGCCGGGAAGGTAAGCTGATGTTCAAAACAAAGAGGGAGAGCTTCAATGACAAGGAAAGGATCCCGAGTCCTCAGCATCCTAGAGAAGTCAAATTAGAGGACTAAAGAGCCTCTGTGAGGCGAATATTTTTATTTTATCATTTTACGACTAGAAACACTGGGGCTCAGTGAAGTATGATACTTCATTCCATACAAATAGCAAGCCCAGTGCAAACCTCAGTGCGCCATGCCCTCTCACAGTTCTGTCATCTAAAGAGATCATGATCTCATCATTTCCCTGATGGTAAGAATCTCATGGAAGGGAAGAAGAAAGGAGGAGGAAGAAGAGGAGGAAGAGGAGGAGGAGGAAGAGGAAGAGGAGGAGGAGGAGGAAGGGGAGGAAGAAGGATAAGGAAGAAGAAGAGGAGGGAGAAAAGGGGAGAGAGAAGGGGAAGCAGAAAAGAGGAGGGGGAAGGGGAAGGAGAATTAGCAGAAGGAGGAGGAGGAGGAGGAGGAGGACGATGACTATGACAAATACCTGGGCTACAACCGACACCTGATGAATTAGAATTTTAGGGAAATAGACACTGGTCCACATACATAACAAGTGTCCAGGTGATTCTTACTATCAAGGATTTTGAGAAACAGTTTTATGCCATAATGCTTTCCCAACAAAGCACTGTACACGGGTTGTCATCCTATCTGAATATAACCTTGTGGGGCATGAGGGCCCTGCCTCGAGGGAAGGGGCCTCTGAGAACCCAAGCCTCCTGGTCCCTGCACTTACCCATCCCTGGCTTCCCTCCTCCAAAGGACCTGGGCTGCAACTATCACCTCCAGGCTGCAACCACTTGCAAAAGATACTCCTCCCTGTGCAGCCAGTGCTCACTGTGGACACCTCTAGCATAGCAGTTATTATCACTTTTAGTTTTATTTGGCAGCCATTCCCATCCCATTCCCATCAGGCTGTGAGCTCAGACAAGTGTGTCTTTCAAGCTACTGCACCAGCACCTAGCACCATGTACACATTCACTTTATTGTGAGTTCTTTTTTTTTTTTTGAGACGGAGTCTCGCTCTGTTGCCCAGGCTGGAGTGCAGTGGCGTGAGCTTGCAGTGAGGCGTCCGCCACCACACCTGGCTAAATTTTTGTATTTTTAGTAGAGACGGGCTTTCATTGTGTTAGCTAGGATGGTCTCGATCTCCTGACCTTGTGATCAGCCTGTCTTGGCCTCCCAAAGTGCCGGGATTACAGGCCTGAGCCACCACGCCGGGCCTATTGTGAGTTCTTAATAAAGGCTCAATGAATGCTTAGTGAGAGCGAAAATATAACAATAATGACGAAACCTCAACTGACAAGAAGAAGAAACCTCAGGTTTGCAAAGTCCTTTTATTATCTTCTTTCCTTCCTTCCTTCCTTCATTCATGGAGCTTCTCCAACTGGCCAGGCCCCCAGGGAAGAGCTGAGGTGCTAACAGAAAGTGTGGCCTCTTCCTCAAGATTCACCTGACCTCACAGAGCTGTCCAACAGCCTTTGGAATTAGAAAGTAGCTGTGTATTTCAAAAGGAGAAGAAAATGTTGTATGTATTTTATATATATATAATATACATATTTAAATCTAGATTATTCCAAAGCAGTGTCACTCCTGAATAAGATGTTGATGTAAAATAAATGTTTCACTAACCATTTCTTTTCCAGCAGCTTCTTCTTTTCCAGATGCTTCATGATGATAACTTTGAAAAGGTTTAATATTTGAAAAGTTCATCTCTCAAATATTCATTTGAGATTTGAATATGAACCCAAAAGTTGTGAAAACAAGCACCCTTACTGAGGCCTTCGGTAAGGATGTCTTGAACCCAAAGCTGCCACAGCTCCTGAAGAGCTTTCTTTGTGGAGAGGGGCTGCGTCCTGCCTGTCCCCCGCCCAGTGCCAAGATGATGGGGCAGGTGGAGATGCAGGGAGGAGAATGTCCTCTGTGCACAGCCTGAGTGAGGAGCTAATCACTCGGAGCCCGATGCATGCACCTGGAGCTTGGGCACAGAGCTTGGGCACTGGTACCCGTGGGGCCTGAGAGATGAAGAGCTCTGGCTACAGGGTGCAGAGTCTCTCTGTCGGGCTCCCATGTGTGCAGGCAGAGCAGGGCCTGTGTGAGGGCAGCTCTTGGGCCTGATGGGAAGGCACAGAGCGCCCAGAGCTGCTCCGAGGCTGCAGGGAAGGCTGTCTGGAAGGGCAGCAGGACTCCACAGAGGAGTCCAGGAGGAGAAGGAGCTGGGCAACCAGGGGCTGGGTACCGGTGCCGGCCAAGAGTGCCAGTGGGATGCCCCACCGAGGAGCCTCCAGGAGGGCAAGGGCAGGTTTACCCGCCAGCTGCCAGCCCAGAGCATGAGGCCATCATGGTATGGCACAGGCCAAGTCACAACATCCCCATCCCAGGGGGCCTTGCCCTAAGCCTGTGAGTCTGAGCTCCAGCTCAGGAAAGAATGAAACAAAAGGACTAAAGAGCCTCTGTGAGGTGGATTTTTTTTTTTTTAAATAAAAAACTTCCTTACAGAAGTTAGGAAGGAAGGAGGTGTCGGTGAGAAAGGAAGGATCAGCTAGGAAAGGGGAGCTTCTACCTGCGGAGGGACCCGAGTCTCGATGATTCTCCATGACTCCACAATTTTAACTACTGAAGTGAGATTTTGCTCACTTAAGTCACTGTAGGATTTTGTATTTCTTAGGAATGATCAGAAAGTGCGCTGAGTTCAGGGACACGGAGGAAAGTTTCCCTATAGGATGCATTTTAAAGGGACAATGAAGGTCTGAAGAGAAGTCTTTTGATTGCATGTCACCAAATTGATCGCTCAGTGTGCCAATTACATTAGACAGAGCCAGCGATGCACACACTGTCAAGAACCCAGAGACCAAAGCTTTAGGGCCAGAAACCCCCATGCAAGTGAGGTGACATCACGTACAACACGAGTGGCCGAAACAATCTTTCGGCAACGGGATTTGGCAGATGCTAGCAGCAGAAGGAGCAGGATTTCTATGCCTCATGTGTCTCTCACTTGTTTTAAAATTAAAGGTGAGAGAGATGAAATTAGGAATGAAAATTCTGAAAGTCTGCACAATGTGTCAATCACAGAGAAGGGAGTGGTGATACTCTATGGAAGGCTGTTTTTCTAAGAGTGTAACACGGTAACTAGATATTTTGTTTACTTGATGGTCTGTTAACAGGGTTATGTCTGGGGACTCATTAAGGATAATGAAAAAAGTTGTCTGCCTTTTGTTTAGGATCTATAAGAAATTGCATCCTTTAACCCTTTTCTGATGGATAGATTGTACAACAGGATGGATTTATGACAGCAGATTCTCTGTCTGACTCCCATGAATTTCCTGTTCCCCCTGATGCCCACTCCCATCATTACACTGTCTGAACATGCCTTTACACCCCACAGCACAGCTTCTCGTGAATCAGAAGGCATCTGTACCTCAGATTGGATTTCTTCAGAAATGGTCTTTGTGCATTTTTTGTCAAATGCCTTCTCTTGTTCTTTTCTATTTCTCTTTAATACCCTAACCCTCAAATTTTTATCTGAACTGTTCAATTCACCTCTACAGTTAAAATGCTTAAACTTTTGCTCTCAACGAATACAAATATTAGGATAGATTTGGGCTCCATTTAATGTATATGCCCCATGACTTAAGAATGCAGCCACTGCCCTAATATCCAGAATCTACAAAGAACTCAAACTTACAAGAAAATAAACCAAACAACCCCATCAAAAAGGGGGCAAAGGATATGAACAGACATTTCTCAAAAGAAGACATTTATGCAGCCAACAGACACATGAAAAAATGCTCATCATCACTGGCCATCAGAGAAATGCAAATCAAAACCACAATGAGATACTATTTCACACCAGTTAGAATGGTGATCATTAAAAAGTCAGGAAACAACAGGTGCTGGAGAGGATGTGGAGAAATAGGAACACTTTTACACTGTTTGTGGGACTGTAAACTAGTTCAACCATTGTGGAAAACAGTGTGGTGACTCCTCAAAGATCTAGAATTAGAAATACCATTTGACCCAGTCATCTCATTACTAGGTATATACCCAAAGGATTGTAAATCATGCTGCTATGGAGACACATGCACACGTATGTTTATTGCGGCATTATTCACAATAGCAAAAGCTCAGAACCAATCCAAATTTCCATCAATGATAGACTGGATTAAGAAAATGTGGCACATATACACCATGGAACATTATGCAGCCATAAAAAAGGATGAGTTCATGTCCTTTATAGGGACATGGATGAAGCTGGAAACCATCATTCTCAGCAAACTATCTCAAGGACAAAAAACCAAACACCGCATGTTCTCACTCATAGGTGGGAATTGAACAATAAGAACACTTGGACACAGGAAGGGGAACATCACACACAGGGGCCTGTTGTGGGGTGGGGAAACGGGGGAGCGATAGCATTAGGAGATATATTTAATGTAAATGACGAGTTAATGGGTGCAGCACACCAACATGGCGCACGTATACATATGTAACAAACCTGCACGTTGTGCACGTGTACCCTAGAACTTAAAGTATAATAATAATAAAAAAATACTTAAAGGAATAAAAGTAACTGTTTCAAAAATAATTAAAATCCTAAAAAAAAAAAAAAAAAAAAAAGAATGGAGTCGCTGCCATTTCCCCCACAAATCTCACAGAGAGGGGCTTCTGTTTTCATTCCCACTTGGCAATGATCCCCTGCCCATTTCAGACGGTTTGTATGAACTGGGGCAGAAGTTCTAGTTTAGACTATAAAGCTCAAATTAAGGTTCATCTCTTAGCTACCTATTTGTGAAACGTTTTAGGTTTGTAGTGTTGTAGCTGTGACATTTTACTGTTATATATGTAACTTTTTAAAGATTATAGGCAGTACTTCCTTGATTAATTTTTAGAGGGCAAAGACTTCTTGAATTGTAACCAACTCAGAAATAGTCCAGGCATACAGAAGTATGCAAATGCTATTTGTTGAATAAAAGGAAAGAAAGCTAATTTCTCTGCAGTGAACATTAAATAATCTGTTGGCTGGATGATGACTCTCTTCTTTACAATCAAGGAAACAGAAGTGCAGTACAGGTGCATGGCTGAAGACTTTGTGTTCTGTCTCAAGAAATCCAACAGTAAACAAGGTGAGCTCTACTAAAGATTTTATTAGATTTTGGAAACTGAGCTTTCTCCTTGGTAACGTAAACTGGAATGCTCCTGTTTTCCTTGGAGAATTTAGGGAGATAAGATTCCCATAGGCAGGGGCAGAAGGGCAGCCTGCTCTCACACACTTCCCTAAGGACTAGATGAAAATAAGTAGCGTTTGTAATATGACCAAGCCAATGAGAAACTCAGCCATGAGCCTCTTTCCTTTTTCTCAGTGCTCCTGACCCTCGGATTTCTGTAAGTGTAAGTACTTATCTTGGAGTCTTGATACCCTAATGTAATGGGGATTACATTAAAAAAATCATGGACAGCTGGAAAAGGAAAATGATGACCTACTGTGCTTCTATTCAGCCTGATGATAGGACAAATGTTCACTTGCCTCTTTCACGGAAACCCAGATAATGTAGGAGGAAACGATTTTGATGATGTGCAACTCCAAAATCCACCACATGAACACCTGCAGCTTGTGGAAATACTCCAGGAATTTTAAGAAGAGCACAGTGAGGCGGTCAATCACCAGGTGCCATTTGTTCCTTAAATCTGCAAAACAGGAAGTACAGACAAGAGCGTAACATTTTTAAAACATTATCATTTAAAGCATATCTTGTCACTTTCAGGTTGGAATGAGAGGCTGCAAAATAATTATAGTGGATGAATTCTAAGAAAACCAAAATCTGGAATAAGGATGATATAAGAATCCCAAGTCATGATGACACAGATATCATAAATTGAGAGTTGGAGGGACAATGTGGCTTTTGTCTACCTTTTGATTAGTGTAAAGAAGGATTTTGACATTCCCTTCCTTCCTTCCTTCCTTCCTTCCTTCCTTCCTTCCTTCCTTCCTTCCTTCCTTTTCTCTCTGTCTCTCTCCCTCCTTTCTTTCTCTGACAGAGTCTTGCACTGTAGCTCAGGCTGGAGTGCAGTGGCATGATCAACATTATTTACTTTTCTTTCTTTCTTCCTTTTTTTTCCTTCCTTCCTTCCTCCTCTCCTTCTCTTTTCCCTTCTCCTTCTCTTCCTTCTTCCCCTCTTTCTCTCCCTCCCTCCTCTTCTCTCCTCTTCTCTCTTTTTCTCTCTTTTCTCCTTCTCTCCGTTCCACCGTTCCTTGTCTTCCTTCCTTCCTTCCCTTGTCCCTCCCTCCCTCCCTTCCTTCCTTTTTCTGACAGAGTCTTGCTCTGTAGCCCAGGCTGGAGTGCAGTGGCACAATCTCAGCTCACTGCAGCCTCTGCCTTTTGGGTTCAAACGATTCTCCTTGAGTAGGTGGGACTACAGGCACATACCACCATGCCCAGCTAATTTTTGTATTTTCAGTAGAAAAAAGGTCTCATCATGTTGGCCAGGCTGGTCTTGAACTCTTGGCCTCAAATGATCTGCCAGCTTCAGCCTCCCAAAGTGCTGGGAGTACAGGCGTGAGCCCCCATGCCCAGCCCCTTTGATATTATTTACTCTTAAGACCAAACTATAATTTCCTAATATTCTAGGAATATTAAATAATCTTAAATCCTTCTAAAGGACATCTTTCTTGCCACAACAGCACTTTTATAAGTGGCCTGTCTCCTTTGACAAGGCTTAACTGGTGAGTGGTAAAGTTCTCTGGTTTCCATGAAAAAGTGAACCAGTCAGAGCCCTGCATGGGCAGGAAGAGCTTTTGCTCCTTGTCAGAATCAGAAGTGAACTCTAAGCATCAGAATGACTCAGCCCGTGGTTTTCTGAAACATGGTCAGATTCATTCAAATAATAATTTTTAATCAAATTACTTATTTTATTATTTCTACCTTATGCTAACAAAGGAGTCATGCTTCTATCAAGAAGGACTGTGCTGGCTCACTTTATTGACTGAAAGTCACAACAGGACTGTTCTGTAATATCAGCCTGTCTTGTTTGTAAACAAAAGCTCACAAGTCTATCTTGGCAGATTACAAGTCCTAAGTATCTCTTTAAGTAGCTTCTTTAACTGGCTTGGGTAGATGCAACAGTTACTGTACCTGGTTCTGAAAGCTAAGTAAGGTTCTAGTTATTGTGAAACATGCTTACAGTAGTTCTCCTTTATCCATGGCTATGCTTTCCAAGATTTCAGTTACCTGCAGTCAACCACAGTCCAAAAAAATTAAATGGAAAATTCCAGAAATGATTCAGAAGTGTTAAGTTACATACTGTTCTGAGTAGAAGGATGAAATCTCATGCTGTCCCACTCTGTCCTTCCCTTTGGAATGTGAATCCCTTTGTCCAGCAGGGCCATGCTGTCTACACTCCCTGCCCCGTGGTCAGTCACTTAGTAGCTGTCTCAGTTGCAGTAGCTGTCTTAGTAGCTGTCTCACTGCATTAGTAGCTGTCTCACTGCAGTATTGCAGTGCTGTGTTCAAGTCACTCTTATTTTACTTTCTAATGGCTCCAAGTGAAAGAGTAGTGATGCTGGCAATTTGAATATGCCAGAGAGCAGCCACAAAATGCTTCCTTTAAGTTAATGGTAACAGTTCTCAATTTTATCAATTAAGGAAAGAAAAAAATGTACACCGAGGTTGCTAAGATCTAAGGTAAGAGCAACTCTTCTATCTGTGTAATTGTAAAGAAGGAAAAAGAAATTCACACACAGTGTACACAGGGTTCAGTGCTATCTGAGGTTTTAGCATTTACTGGGAGTCTTAGAACATGTCCCCCAAGGCTAAGGCAGGACTACTGTATTTAGAGAGTGACTCAGATGGTAGTCAATAAAAAGGTGTAGGTAATAAATGAGCATGATTTAGACGCGTAGCTGCCACGTACATGAGGGATTGAGAGAAAAGGGGCTGTGCAATTTTGGGCAGGACCTATTAGTAAAGCTCAAAATCCATCTTGAAGTAGTGTAATAAAATCCTAGACTTAGGTACTTGGCCTCACAGACCTGGGGTCTCCGCTTCACACTGAGGAATTCACAATGATCAGATATGGAAAGAACGTTTCTGGTCCTCTCCTCTGTGTTCTGAGATGAGAGGGGAAAGAAGACCAAGTTTAAGGGGCATAAACCTTTGGAAGGAGTCCTCCTGCTACTTTTTTATTTTCTAATTTTGTTAAGGACAGTTGACCAGCAAAGACAAGTGCAGCATCTTAAGGTGATAGCCCCAGAACCTCACCCCAGAGATGATGCTCTCTGGGTTGTCCCAGACTTCCTGGAAACGGCTATGTAGACTTTATATTCTCTGTCAGATAACATTTCCTGATCACTGAGGCTGCTCAATGTTCATCATGCCCTAGTAAAACATTATTTCAAGTTTAGGAAGGGAAGTAGAAAGAGCCCAAAGAATAAAGAGTGAAACCCCTAAAACAGCAATATTGACAAAAACATCTCTAGGAGTTTGCTTGAAATTATAATTATCCAACTGCTGACTTTGTCCTCCAGTGTCCATGTCCTTAGGCATCAAATCAGAGCTAGAAATACATTCTTAATTATCAGTTTCCTGGAAAAGAATGGTTTCTTGAGAATGCATTTGTAAAGGCGATGTCTACAGCCTTTGGAGATTCTGCACGGCCAGGCTGTACCTGCATCTGGTAGAAACAGAGAGGCTCTGACTGAGCACGTGGTCAACACCATGCCCCACCAGTGTCTGGCCAGGAGTGCTACTTGTTGGTCAGTCACTGAGAACCAGCCATCTGGTCTTTTCTCAGTCAGAATTAAAAGGAAATTGGAGCAATTGGAACAGTAATATTAAAACTATAGCAACCAAACAAAAACCACTCCAATTTTTATGTCATGGACTGGGTCAAATATGTATTCTTTTGGAGCAAGTCAATGTTTCCTTCACTCAGTCTGGCAGCCAGCATTCTCTGAGCGGCTGTTTACCTGATGTTTCTTCCTCCTCCTCGGATTCCTCCTCTTCCTCTCCGTCCTCCTCTGACTCCTCGCTGTCTTTCCCAAGATCACCCTTTTGGGCTTTTTCAGAGTAGCCCTCGGGCTTCTCCTCCCCAGGCTCAGCCAACTTCCTCACCTCCGGCTTCTCCAGCTTGGCGGTCAGGTGCATCATGGTGAGGTCCGGGAGGCTTCCTTCCGGGTGGGCCAGTCTGTTGGCAGAGAGCAGCTGAGTCAGAAGAGGAAAGGGTGTTGGGAAAGATTTGAGTGAGGGGCAAGTAAAAGGAGGATAAACACGAATGAAATCAGTGCATGTACAAAGACCTCACAAGGTGGGGTGTTAGCGTTTTGTCACTTTCTTGTTGGTTTGTTTGTTTTAAGTTCTTTCTAAAAACAAACTGTAAACTCGGTTAGGTTTTGTTAGCTTTTCTAATTCAGGTTCTAGTGATTAGTTGGTAATGAAAGCTATCGACACCTAAACTTGACATTTTTCCCGGAGGAGAAAATGGTCAGAGTTTAGGGTGTAGAAGCATGAAATGGCATCATGTAGAGCAAGCATTTCATGGCTTCACAGGGGGACTTACTCATTTTGGTGGATTGGTAATTTTTTCTTGATGCTGCTCAAAGTAATTGAAATAGAAAGGAAAAAAAGGAGATGAGAACAGAAGAATTATAAGGAATGTCAGAGATCACATATCATGCTACATATCATCCACTATTGCATTCCTGTATGCCTGTTGCAGTAACACCCTAGTGCCAAATGCATTCCAGGGTGGCATCAATAGCGTGCTTTGCTTTGAACCCTAGGCTTGGCAACTGATCCGAGAGTGGACAGGATTGCAGGTTTGTAAAGGAGAGAGCATACTGAGACTGCTGAGGCAATTATATCATGCTTTTTTAGTAACGCAACAAACCATCTTGCAAGAATCAAGTAATTTACATATTTGTAAGTTTTTAAACATTTCTTAAAGAACGTGTGCTTTTAGTCAACCTTTGTGTAGACGAATCCCACTCTGCCAGCTAAGGCATATGCCATGGAAGCTAAATGTTTTCAGGAGTGACACGTCTGCATCATGTCCCCACGTGAGAGTTACTGATGCGAACTGTTGATTGGCAGCGTGGGAAGACTGTGTGAGATCCTGAACCAGAGAAAGAATGCAGGGAGAGGGAGCTTCCGGTGAGCGCACTCAGCAGCCGGGGATGCTACAGTTTATTTCTTAGTGGACCATAACAAGTCCCTTCCTTCTCCTACATTTTTTAAGAGCATACCTTTTTATTCATACTCAAATTAATGTTTTAAAGAATTTGTGGGCAATAAAGTCTATATAAAGAAAAAGCCTAGTAGACATACTGATAGTCTTCTCTATTTATCACAGTTAATCCAGAAATTTTTAGCAGGGTTCTAACAAGATGGACAATAAATAATATTATTCTATGTGGATAATTGTAGGCTCTTAGTAAACTATTTAACCTTGTGAAAGTTAATTAATTTTCTACCAAATGAGGCTTGGTTAGATAAAATGCAGGTTTACTTTCAACTTATTGATTTGATATTTGTAAACATGCCTATCATTTTGGTTAATGGTTGCAAGGAATCCACACTGTCCTTACACTTTTACATTATCATTCAAACAATTCCTTTGCACAGGATGTCCAGCAGGTAAACGACAGTATGCCAGAAACAGACTGTTAATTTAACGGAGACAGAGAATCTGAGGAGAGTTCTACATTGGTGGAAGGAGTTACACTGACATACTACTTCCTTATTTTCCTAAGCTAGTCAATTCATCCTCTCGACTTTGGAGAAGTTAGCTAGTCTTAAAATTGCAACCCATCTCTTCTACACCAGTGCCACACACCAAATCGCAGGGAACACATTTGCTGTTCCTGCTTTGTCAGGACTCTCCATGTGAAATGTTATTAAATGTGGAAGTGATCGGCTGCTGCACAGTCGTCAGTATGTATTTGTTCTCTTCAGGGATGCATTTTATAAATGAAAAGATACCTTTATTAAGACAAGGACTTTGGTGGTTTCAGTGTGGAGGTGTGACCACCTCAGAGTGAATCTTAAAGGTCTGCATTGACACTGCTGCAACCTCATATGACAAGAAAACTACGTTCTAACAATTACTGCTATTAACAGAGTGAAACTCAAAGAGGGGATGCTGTTTCCGTAGCTGCTACTACAGCTACACAGCAGATGTCCTCAAGCAACGATGCCCCCAAACTGCCAGGCCGCAAGCAGGGCGCATCGAGGAGAGATCGTTCAGTGAAAGAATCAGAGGAAGACACTGGAGTAAGCCTTCTGGAAGCAGGTCCACAAGGCTGATTTCTAGAAACTTGGAATGGGACAAGATGCAGCTGGGGACAAATGAGAAGGGAATTCTGCATCTAACACAGGTCGTTCCCTCTGACCTTAGAGGCACAAACCCCAGACCCTCTCTGGCGCAGTTTAACCTCATGAGCTTGTGATGGACGACAAAGAAGAAAAGAAATTACGTATCAGGCTGTCATTTACTAGTCTAGGAGTTTATTAGCTATCTTGAGAAATTTCAGAGAATTGTACCTTGTATTATAAAAAACTGTGTGCGTAAAACATAGATAAAAAATATTTTAAAAATGAATAAAGCATACTGTTTCAAAAAGACACGTGTGAATCCTTTTACTTTTCTCTCTCTCTTTTTCTCATTTTTATCATAACATTGATCTTAGAGGACATAGAGAAGAATGTTAAAAGACTTGGGTTCAAGTCTTCACCAGAAAACTAACTAGCTAGGTGAGATGGCAAAGCTATGTAACCTATTCTTCTTTATGATTATTAATTTATTTTTTATTATACTTTAAGTTCTAGGGTACATGTGCACAACGTGCAGGTTTGTTACATATGTATACATGTGCCATGTTGGTGTGCTGCATCTATTAACTCGTCATTTACATTAGGTATATCTCCTAATGCAATTCCTCCCCCCTCCCCACACCCCATGAGAGGCCCCAGTGTATGATGTTCCCCTTCCTGCGTCCAAGTGATCTCATTGTATGTAACCTGTCTTTAAGTCTCAGTTAGCTGAAATAATAGTGCCTATTTATAGGAGGTTGTAAAAATTAAGGTGGTTTCTGTTAAGCATTTAACACAGTGGTTAATTACACAGGAAACATTTTAAAGTAAGGAGCCATCTTCTAATGGTAGATTTTAATATATTACGGTTTGATAATCTGCATCATAAACTCATTCTAAAGAAAAAGCAGAATTAGAAACGTACTTTTGTAAGAGCCTACACAATGATGGATGATAGGGGAAGTATTAAACTTAGACTATAATTCTGTCATCAGCACCTTCTTTAACAGAACTCAGCTATTTTATAGAAGGCCATTCAGAAGATAATAAAAAGGGCAAACATTTCTTCGTGGGGAATCTGTTTCCCAGTGGTCTCAGGGTTCTGTTTACTGGGCTTTCTCTGTGTGATCTCAACTACTGCATCCCCTGAGGAATGGGGCTCCGGCAGAGGTGACTCTGAACAAATGCAAGCTTCCGAGGCAGACCCAGCTGTGGTTGCTAGAAGCAACAGCTGTATGGACTCTCTGGGAAAGCCTGTGTATTTTAATTCAGCTTTTTTTCCCTTCCTAGCAAATAAAAAGAAAATGGATCTTGATTTTCCAAAACCAAAATTTAAAAACCCACTCTAGTAAAAATACTCCCGGAAACTTCAGGCTAAGGAACTTATAAGACTTGCAATTCTTTACTGAACATCAGGTGCAAATTACCTAATGGTCGTATGAAGGATTTTGACTTTGGGACTCCAAATAGTAAGTGTGATGATGAACAGGATTCTCGGAGAAGCCCCCTCCTCCGCTGCCTTCAGTCAGGCTGCTTTGGATGTCTTTCTCCACAGGAAGTGCATTTCTTCTCGTGGGGTTCTCTTTAACGTTACTGGTAACTGTGTCTCCTTGCCCTTATGCGGGCTCTGAGCTCTAACCTTCTCATCGACCATTAAACAAAATGGCTGTCTCCTTTCATGTTCTAACAAAGCAGATGACAAGTATCTGTTTGTGTCTTCACTCACTCTTTACACTTCCACAGCTTTGTGCAGCTCCCAAGGTGTGTGTTTCTCCATTTGTGACTCCGTCATTTTATTCTAAGTATAGGTTCTGGGGCCTTTCCCTTTGAAGACAGAATTCAGTCCTGCTCGACTCATCACCCTTACAAAATGCAGTACTGTGCTTGGGGTACACTGTTATTCACTGAATCTTGGGTGAAGAAATTTTATGCACTGGAGTTACATCCTTATTTGAAACAGAAGACACAAATTACGTGACAGGGGCGCTCAAGGAGGGTCAATTCTGTACAAGGACCTGACTTTGAAAAGCTACATAGTAAACTACTTTCCATTAAAGAAAATGGAACTTCTAGCATTGTAAAATCTCCTTAGTCTCAGCATCGTTTGTTTTTATGATTCTAATTTGGAATATGCGGGAATGTAAACTGCACTGACACTGTTATCATTAGACTGTTAGCGGAAAGGTGACTTGCACCTGTGCAGTGTTTAATACAAATAACATTTAAAGTCAAATAACGTTTAACATATATTATTATCTAGATCTCAAAAGCACTTTTAGAAGATTGTATTCACATAGAAGCATTTGATTTGTGAATCTAATATTACATCTTATTTTTTATTTATTTATTTATTTTGAGACGGAGTCTTGCTCTCTTGCCCAGGCTAGATTGCTGCATTGGCGTGATCTCGGCTCACTGCAGACTCAGCCTCCCGGGTTCAAGCAATTCTCCTGCCTCAGCCTCCCGAGTAGCTGGGATTACAGGTGCCCACCACCATACCCGGCTAATTTTTGTATTTTTTAGTAGAGACGGGGTTTCACCATCTTGGCCAGGCAGGTCTTGAACTCCTGACCTCATGATCCACCTGCCTCAGCCTCCCAAAGTGCTGGGATTACAGGCATGAGCCACTGTGTCTGGTCTGAATGTTACATCTTAATTATGTGTGTTGGTAAAATGTACACTGTTTACTAGGTCAGTTGCAACTTAACCACAATTATCCATATTTTAAAAATGTTATCAAAGTGACCTACTGTCCTCAACACACTACCCTACCTTACAACTTGTAAAGTCATGTCTAAATTTTAATCAACTCTTAAGTTGAATTGTAGGTGTGCTCCCTCTTTCAGCCCAGAACTAACATTTATAAACATTTTATTC